ATCATGTAAAACATAAACACACACACGCACACAGATAAATCATGGAAAAGCATTTGCTAGTGCAGAGGTTGAGGCTGGGGTGGGGGTGTTATCAGTGAAAACAGAGTCCTGTCTCTTTAACTGGTGGCTGAGCCGAGGGACTCCTGGGACTCATGAATAAACATGAACTGGCCTTTCTCCTCTGCTCACACAGAACCAATTTAAATCAAAATGAGCCTACATACACAACAACACCAATGACATTATAACCCTTCTGGTCTCCCCAACCCCCCCCCCCCCCAAGGATCACTGATACCACAGTGTATGACATTACACCCTATCCCTCTCCCTGTACCCCTATAACCCCCGCAACACCATCAAATATGCATACACCAGTAGGCAATAACATTATATTCCCTACACACACATACACCCTCCCCTCCCCCTACTTCAACCCCCCTCCACCATACCCATCCCAGCATCAGCAGCAGCAGCAGTTTAATTCATGTGAGGTCATTAATATTCATCATATAATTTTGTCACAAAGGAAAGTCATCTGGCTGGATGTCACTGAAGTTTTTAATTAACTGACCTCTGCGGCCAGGGATCCATCCCCAGCACGCACACACACACGTTTGTTTTACAATTACATTTCACATTTTAGTCATTTAGCAGACGCTCTTATCCAGAGCGACTTACAGTTAGTGAGTGCATAAATTTTTCATACTGGCCCCCCCGTGGGAAACGAACCCACAACACTGCTGTTGCAAGCACCATGCTCTACCAACTGAGCTACAGGGGACCTACAATCCTTTAGGGGACCAAACAATATTGATTCCCATTAAAAATAATATTTTTTCTAACCCTTAACCTAACCCTAACCTTAACCCCTAACCCCAACCCTAACTCATAAGCCTAAAATAGCCTTTTTCCTTGTGGGGACTGGCGAATAAAACCAAACACAAGCACAGACACGAGACATGAGGCAAATGTGACATGAGACTGCTCTTCTCTGTGTCACGGAGGCTCTCCGCACTGCTAAAGCTAACTCTCTCTCCTCTGCTCTTGTCCTTCTAGACCTGTCTGCTGCCTTTGATACTGTGAACCATCAGATCCTCCTCTCCACCCTCTCCGAGCTGGGCATCTCCGGCGTGGCTCACTCTTGGATTGCGTCCTACCTGACCGGTCGCTCCTACCAAGTAGCGTGGCGAGAAGCTGTCTCCGCACCACGTGCTCTCACCACTGGTGTCCCCCAGGGCTCAGTTCTAGGCCCTCTCCTATTCTCGCTATACACCAAGTCACTTGGCTCTGTCATATCCTCACATGGCCTCTCCTATCATTGCTACGCAGACGACACACAACTAATCTTCTCCTTTCCCCCTTCTGATAACCAGGTGGCGAATCGCATCTCTGCATCTCTGGCAGACATATCAGTATGGATGACGGATCACCACCTCAAGCTGAACCTTGGCAAGACGGAGCTGCTCTTCCTCCCGAGGAAGGACTGCCCGTTCCATGATCTCGCCATCACGGTTGACAACTCCGTTGTGTCCTCATCCCAGAGTGCGAAGAGCCTTGGCGTGACCCTGGACAACACCCTGTCATTCTCCGCTAACATCAAGGCGGTGACCCGATCCTGTAGGTTCATGCTCTACAACATTCGGAGAGTACGGCCCTGCCTTACACAGGAAGCGGCACAGGTCCTAATCCAGGCACTTGTCATCTCCCGTCTGGATTACTGCAACTCGCTGTTGGCTGGGCTCCCTGCCTGTGCCATTAAACCCCTACAACTCATCCAGAATGCCGCAGCCCGTCTAGTGTTCAACCTTCCCAAGTTCTCTCACGTCACCCCGCTCCTCCGCACACTACACTGGCTTCCAGTTGAAGCTCGCATCTGCTACAAGACCATGGTGCTTGCCTACGGAGCCCAGACAAAACTGTTCGCTGCTCTGGCACCCCAATGGTGGAACAAGCTCCCTCACGACGCCAGGACAGCGGAGTCACTCACCACCTTCCGGAGACATTTGAAACCCCACCTCTTTAAGGAACACCTGGGATAGGATAAAGTAATCCTTCTACCCCCCCCCAAAAAAAAAAGAATTGTAAAGTGGTTATCCCACTGGCTATAGGGTGAACGCACCAATTTGTGAGTCGCTCTGGCTAAGAGCGTCTGCTAAATGACGTTAATGTGCCCTTGAGCAAGGCACTTAACCCTAATTGCTCCTGTAAGTCGCTCTGGTTAAGAGCGTCTGCTAAATGACTAAAATGTAAAATGTAAAACCACTGGAGCAAGAGACTGGGACAGGTGCACAACACATGTATCTTTTGGTTATCACTATGGCAACAGCATCCAGGAACAATAAAAAACACAATATTTACATCTTACAGTTAAATGAGAAAATGAGGAAAAGGAATAAAACAACAATATGTACATAACAGCCATGTGGTACAGTATTTGGAATTTCAGTACAGAAAAAGATCATTGGTATTGTGGTTAGTTTTAGAGCTAAAACTGAGTTAGTCAGCATCCTTTGGAAGGTTAGCCTGGTTTCTGTGTCCAGTACCGCTGCATGGCTACATAGCTACATCGTTACAATCTGTGTGGCTACATGACTATGTGGCTACTCAGCTGCATGGATACGTGTCTATGTCACTACATGGTTACATTGTTGCCTGGCCTAAAGCAGAGACAAACATGGCTAGCTACATGGCTAAACAAGCCAGCGACACAAGAGCAGAAACAGACTGGTACACAGATCTGTGGAAGGTTTAGGGCTAGATACAATCTAACCTGCCGTAGAATAGCTATGCAGGATCTTTAGTATAGAAGTACTGTATCTTATCTTTGTAGTATCATTTTATCTTCTTTGTATCTTTGTTTAGAAACCACTGTCCACATAGTAATTCATTAATGAGTAAATACTGGAGCCCCAAGTATCTCTTTGATAACATCAGAAAAAAAGGTCAGGTTATAAACAGCATTATGGGTGTTATAATAGTTTGTTATTACAGTATTACGAAATACGTTAGCAGCAAACTGGACGTCCTCAAAGACTGAGCTGAAACAATCTATCTGGTTGGTTATATAGAGGAGGAAAACATTTCAACCGCTCTACACACTGCAATGGCTCTGAAGTAGTTCCCTACTGAGTACACTAGGGACTGGGATTTGGTTCCCTACTGAGTACTCTTCTACTGAGTACACTAGGGGCTGGGGTTTGGTTCCCTACTGAGTGCACTACGGGCTGGGGTTGTGTCCCCTACCGAATGCACTAGGGCCTGGGGAGTTTGGCTTTGAGAAGTGCTACTCCATCCTAGTACAGTAGTTGGTTTCATGGAGGTTTCAGTATACAGTCACCAGTGGCCTGGTAAAGAGGCAGATACAGCAGTTCTTATTCAGTCACTCTTCTTTCCATCATTCAATGTTACATTATCAAGCAAACTTTTCAAGTTGTTTTTGTGGGGTTTATGCACCAATGGTTACAGTGTTATTATGTCTTTGGGTTGTGTTTTAAAGCATGATATATTATCATAGTTACTACAGTAATATTAATACAGATAGAGAATAAGACGACTGCAGCAGACGTCATACAGATGAGAGCGAAAGAGAGAGAGATGGTTAGAGTGTGTGGTACAGAGTTAAGTGCACACAATATCCAAAGTTTTCATCGGTATTACATGTCAGCAACTCTGTCAGTGAGTCTGGTCCGTCAGAACAGAGGCAGTCTCAGGGAAGACTCTTAGTTGACCATTTAACATGTTATAATGGAACAATCTACTCTCGGTCAGAAAGCTCAGATCTCTCAAATCCAGAGAGGTGTTTCTTTAGAACTAGCATTATAGGAATTTCATATCAACAGTCAATATTCCCATCATAAGGTTTAAAAAAAGACTTTCTGTCTGGCATAAGGAACAGAAGAGAAAATAGTACAGTACTACGACCAAATTAAAAACAGTTCAGTTGGCCTGAGAATAGTAGACATTACATTATATTACACAACTTATTGGTATTTACTCAGATAAGAAGAAAAGGCAACATCTTACCTAAACTCCACATCATAAAGCCTACATTATGTTCTCATAAACCACAAAATAACACAAAATAACACACCGTCAATCCATAATATTCCTATTCATTAACATTTACTAAACAATGTTGTTTAGTGTTTGGTTAAAGTTGTTGTGACATATATTGGTCGGACGTTATCAAAATAGCTTCTTATATGACCTCTCTCATAAAGGACAAAGTGGACTTAGCTCAGTGCTATTTGGCCTATTCTCCACATAAGGAACATTCAGTACATTTACATGTTCAGTAGAGTCATCATTTGCTTGAGAAGGTTGTGGTCTGCTTCAGCACCACATAGGCCAGTCATTCTATTGGTGCACACCAGTACTACACCAGTCTCAGGTCTACCCTTCACTGTATGGTCTGTACTGCAGTTCAGGAAATGAAAACCACCATGTTGACAATCCAATCCAAGGACATGTAAGGTTTTGGTTACGAGCTTTGGAATCCAAGCAAGTCTTTGCAGAAGCTCTTTGTGAAGAATATTATTTTGCTTTGTAAGAACGTTCTATACACCAAACATATTAGACTTATCGCTTTAACAGTTTGATATAATCTGTTCCTACTTGCTACAGAACTAACTACAACACTAGTAAAGTCTTTAAACAGAAGTGGGAAGGGCACATACTGTTTCCTGGTTCTCCAGATTATATTGTCTGGACAGGGACATCTGTTGGCATGGAGGGGTTAACTCCTGAGGTATCGGTTGGAAGAAAGGACAGGAGAGGAGAGAGGGAGGAACAGAGGAGTGGTGTCTTAAAGCTCTAGGAGGTCTGCCCTGTGATGTTTTTGGGCTGAAGAGGGGGTGAGGTACATTGGTAGAATGCTCTTTGGCTTCTGTGGCATGTGGTTGGTTCATCGCTGTGTGTGTGGTTGGTTCATTGTTGTCACTGACGTGCACTTGGTTCATGGCTGGGTGTGTTCTCTCCCCTGTCCTCTGCAGTCTTTCCCTCTATCCTGTGGTTGGGTCGACTCTAAGGCTCCTGGCCCTCTTCTCTTTGGCCCGGGCATTCTGAAACCACACCTGCACTACCCTGCGTGCCAGGCCCAGCTGCCGTCCCAGGCCCTCACACTGCAGGGGGCTGGGAGTAGGATGCTCCCTGTAGCAGGCTCTGAGCTGGGCAACCTGCTGGGGGGTCATCTGGGTACGCTGCCTCTGCTGCTGTCTCGGTACATGCCTATCCACACTCTCAGACAGACTTGGACTGGTGTTCTGGTCACAGTCTTGAACGTTGAAGCTCGCCATTCCATAATTGTATCCCAGAGACAACAGATTCCTACGGTTACCCTCATGAGCCTGGTCAGACGAAGGGAATTTTTTTACTGACAGATCTTCTTCCTCCTCTTTTTCCTCCTCTTCAATTTTGGGTTTGTTCAGGTCAACGGACAAATCGGTTTTCCCAGAAATGTATTTTCTCTCAATGGGGACGACCCCAGGGCTTGAGGAAGGATGAAATGGGCTTGGGGAGGGATGGAGGGAGGGAGAGAGAGAAGGATGGTGGGAGAGAGAGGGAGAAGGCTGGAGTGAGAGAGAGGGACCCTCCCTGTCTCTGTAGGATCCATGGTTGTGAGAGAAGCTGGAGTCATCTGCAGGACCCATCTGATGAGACAGGCCATAGGCAGCTCTGTCAGTCTGTGAACAGTGGCGGGCCCTGACATGGGCGTCCAGGGCGTTCTGAGCCTTGAAGAGAGCCCTGGAGAACAGACAGCGCCTATGGTTCTCACCCATACCCAGACCTCCTCCTCCCCCCAGGGTCTGGAGCTGGCCCTTCCTCTGACGAGCCCTGGTGTTCTGGAACCATACCTGAGGAAGGACAGACAAACACAGCGTTATTACATGTTATTTTACAAAACATGATCACCATTACAGAATTATAGAAATGTTACTATGAGAATGATAGAGTACCTGCACCACACGTTTCTTCAGGCCTGTGTCCCTGGTGATGCCCTCCAGTACAGAGCGTGTTGGGTTGGAGTTCAGACTGTAGTGCTGGTCCAGAACCTCTAGCTGCTCCGCACTGATGGTGGTCCTCTGGCGCCTATCCCTCCTCTGCTCATCCCCCTCTCCCTCTCTCTCTCCCCCTTCCTCTCTTTCACAGGCCATCACATCCCTCATAGGCGTTACCTCTGTCCCTTCCTCCAGCCTATGCTTCAGAAAGGGCAGGGCTGGGCTGGGAGCAGAGTGTGTGTTAGTGTATGGGGGTAGAGCTGGGCTAGGAGGACAGTGTGTGTTAGTGTATGGGGGTAGAGCTGGGCTAGGAGGACAGTGTGTGTTAGTGTATGGGGGTAGAGCTGGGCTAGGAGGACAGTGTGTGTTAGTGTATGGGGGTAGAGCTGGGCTAGGAGCACAGTGTGTGTCAGTGTATGGGGGTAGAGCTGGGCTAGGAGCACAGTGTGTGTCAGTGTATGGGGGTAGAGCTGGGCTAGGAGCACAGTGTGTGTCAGTGTATGGGGGTAGAGCTAGGCTAGGAGCACAGTGTGTGTTAGTGTATGGGGGTAGAGATGGGTTGTGGGTGGAGTGAGCGTTGGTGTATAGGGATAGGGGTGGTTGGTGGCCAGATGATAACAGGAACTGGTACTGAAGCATAGACTGGAGTGCTATGGGCTGCATTAGATCAAGGGGGAGGAGCGAGAGGTCTATGGGGAAGGGAAGAGAGAGGAGATTTGGTAAAGGAAGAGGGGACAGGGGGAGTTGGGGTAAGGGGAAATGTATGGAGAGTTTGGACTGGGGTATGATAGTTGGAGAGGGGTCAGGGGCAGGGGTGGTTGTGATAGTGGTAGTGTCCTGCTGCTGCTCTGGAAGTGGTTGTGTTTGGGAAGGGGGTGGAGGAGAAGAGGGTGTTGGTGAGGCTGGGGCTTGGGCTGGGGAGAGGGTTACAGGTACAGATGCTGGTGGTGTGGGTACAGCTGGGTCTGGGCCTATGGCTGTTAGGGTTGTAGCCAGGTTAAGGGCTGGGATTGAGGCTTGGGAGAGGGATTGGGCTTGGTCGAGGATTGAATCTGAGGCTGGTGCTGGAGGTAAGGGTGCAAGTACAGGTGCTGAGGCTGGGGTTAGGTTTGCAAAAACAGTATTATCATTGTCCCCTGCTGTGAGGGGTGTGAGGGGGTAGAGGCGGTCATACTGCAGCCTGTACTGTCTGGAGAACGTCTCCAACACTACAGGAGGGATCATCTGGCGGTGAACAAACTCCTGATGGCTCTTCAGGATCAGAGAGTCAGAGAACCGCTTCCCACATTCTCCACACTGCTTCTCCTCCTCCAGTCGTCCGTCCATCTCTCTGTTCTGCTGTCTCTGTCTGCTCTGATTGGATTGCAGGGCCAGCTCCCAGCCATATCTCTCCAGCAGAACTCTGAGGCCCTTCTCTGCTCTATCCCTCTTCTCGCTCTCCTGCATCTCTCTGTCCCTCTCTCTATCTCCCTCAGGAGAGGAGGATGGGTTTGACTCTTTCTCCGTCTGGTGGAGGGGGGAGTCATTGTCAGCTGTCTCAGCCTGGCTTTCACACTTCGGGGACTGGGCTGGAGACTGGATGCTAGTTGTCGCCGGCTTTGGAGAGGAATGTTTAAGCCCATTTGTCTGAGGGGAGAGGGCAGAGGTGGTCTGGAGGGAGAGGGCTGAGGTGGTCTGACTAATTGTTGTGTTAGGGTTGAGCTGCAGACCTCCAGAGAGGTAGAAGGACTGGAACATCTGCTGCTGTAGAGAGAACAGGCTGTCTGGGGAGAACTGGAGAGGAGAGAGGAGGTTCCTCTGTTGGAGACTCTCTACTGCTGAAGGGAGGTGCTGCTTTAGGAGGTTCTGCTGCAGTAAGGGGAGGTGCTGGAGCAGAGTTGGACTAAAGAGCTGGGGCTGGAGGAGGGCTGTGTGTTGCTGTATCTGGGTCTGGGCTAACTTATGTTGCTGTTGTAGCATCTGGACCTGAGATAACTGCTGTTGGAGTAACGTTAGGTCCTGCTGTCCTCCAGATGTTGTCAGGTCCTCTACTCTCCTCCTCTTAGCCTGGTGGCCCTCAGCCTTCCCAGAGACACCCACACTCAGCTGGGCTTCACTCAGGGAGGGAAAGGGACTTGGGGAGGCAGGGGCTGATCTGGTGGCTGTTGGGGGGGTTCCCTTGGTAGACCCCTCTCCTCCCCCTGGTGAACGGCTGGAGGCAGGGGTCTGCACCAAGGCTGGGACTGGGGTTTGGCGGGTGTGGGGGTTCAGCGGTAGCTGGGTTCGAGCTGCACTGGCTCGTTTCTGGTGCAGTACAGAGCGGAGGTGGATGTCCAGGGTGGAACTCTGGCTGTAAGCCACCCGACACATTCTGCAGCGGTAGGACCTTGGGTCCGGGGCCGGGCTGCAGTGGAAGGGTCTAGGTTCCAGGCCCTGGGGGGTGTAAGGGGGACTGGGGCTGGAGTCCTGCAGGGCCCGTCTGGTTCTGGCTCGGTGGAGGTGGGACAGAGAGTTATAGTGGACCATCAGGATGGTTCTCTGAGTGAAGGACTCACAGCAGAAGGAACACTTGTAGGGCCGAGCCGGGTCCAGGAACCGCTGCAGAGTGGGGTTGGAGCACTTGCTGAAGGGGCTGGGTTCTGACCCTGCCTCCTTCTCCTCCTGCTGCCTTGAACCCTGGTCACTATCACCAACCCCTGGACTGGGCCTCTCCTCCTGCTCACCTGGGTCATCCTCCTCTCCCTCATCTCCCTTTCCCTGCTCTCTCTCCCCCTCTTCATCATCTTCCTCCTTATCTGTCTCTTCTTCACTCATACTCTTCCCCTCCTCTTCCTCCCCCTCCAGGCTGACTGGTCGTTGGACGTGTGCTCCACTCTGGTCAGGGTGTGTACCCTGTAGGTGTAGGTCCTGTAGGTGTGTGTTGAGCAGGTGTCTCTGCAGGGCCTCTTGGCTGCGGCAGTGTCTGGGGCAGAGGTGGCACTCTGTTGCCGCCCTCATGGCGTGGTACTGCCAGTGCAGCTGCAGCTTCTCCTGCGTTTGGAACGCTAGACTGCAGCTGCCGCAGCGGAACCTGTAACCATGACAATCAGAGGGGGGAGGGGCATTGCTGGGAGGAGAGGGGGGTAAGGTGGATGAAGCGAGGTTGCTGGGAGAGAGCGAGGAAAGAGTGGGTGGGGAAAGGGGAGAGCTGGGGGACTCTAGGAGGTGGGAGGTGTTGTCCTCTGCTGGGTGCTGGTCCTCAGAGGGAGGAGTGAGAAGAGCAGGGACATCTTTGACTGGGATCACTTTTTCTTTCTTTGTATGGGAGTCGTTTGTTTGAGACTCGTTTGTGAGGGATTCCTTCACGTAAGAGCCGTTTGTGTTGCAATCGTTTGTTTGAGATTCCTTTATATTTGAGTGGGACTCCATCTGCAGCGTCTCTTTCTGCAGAATCTCTGGCAGCTCCACTGCCACCTGGAAAAGAAACCAACAACAAAGGTTTTGAACGTCAGTCTGAATCTATCCAGATGACTGATTGCCTTTATAGTCAGTCAAAACACTGTCTTTCCTGTTTGAAAGTGCAGATGGAATAATAATAATAGTGATGCTCCTTTATTGTCTACATCACCTCATTCTCCCATTACACACTAATAATAGATGGAGGGAAATAGAATCAACTGTCTTTTTAAATCAACCACACACACACACACACACACTCCCACAAACACACACACACACACACAGAGAAAGAAGACACACACACTTGCATGGCAGAGACAGAAGAGATGCATACACATAATATGTGTATGCCGCAGTGAGAGAATGAAGGTCAGGCTTAATCTAGAGAGAGAAATTGGAAAGCGCAGAACATAATGGCCATCATAACCCCAGTCTGAATTAATGAACCTACGCTACCATCAGAGAGAGAGAGAGAGAGAGAGAGGGGGAATGGGGAGGTGGGGTGCAGAGAGAAAAGGGGGGGCTGGGGAGGGGGGAGGGGAGACAGAGACAGAACAAGGGGTGTAGAGGGGGGAATAGAGAAAGAACGAGGGGGCACAGAAAGAAAGATGGAGAGAAAGAGGAGGGGTAGAGAGAAGAAAGAGAGGGATAGAGAAAGAGAGAAGATGGAGAGATAAGAAAAGGGAGTGAAAGAAAAAGGGAGTAGGGAGAGGGTGAGAGAGGGATGAGGGGGGAAAATAGGATGAAGGCAGTCAATTGAGTCAAAGAGGGAGACAAAGAGCACTTAGCATGCTGGATAAAGTAATGGAGATTGGTGATGTGGAGAGAAATGAGCACTCTTTGTTTGCTGGAGACACTAAAAGTGAGCTCCTTCAGCTTGGCTGCACTTCTGCTAATAAAAGGTAGCTAGAACACACACACAGACACACACACACACACACATTTACCGCACTCATGAGCTTGTCCACACAGTCCTGGGCCACACTGTGTGTGAGTGTGAGGTGACGTCTCAGGTGTGTGTATACCAGTGTGTCCTTGCACAGTGGGCACTTGGCAGTAGCCTGTCGGTGAGTGGTGTACTGGTCTGTTCTGGGGCGTTTGGGGGAGAGGGGGCTCTGTGTCTCCTCCAGACTAGAGAACGATCGCTTGGCTGGGGATAGGGAATCTCTCCTCTCCCCCTCCTCCTCACTGCTTCCCCCTAGAAAGGTAACACATATGTTAATATACGGCAACACACACACACATACTGTATACTAATTGATCCAGTATAGATTTTCTATTAGCAAGCCCTCTGGGGTTCAGACCAGTTCATTCAGACCTAATACCTGGTATTGACTGTTTAATACAAAGTCTCAGACTGAGTTAGACCAGATTTCATCCTGACAGTTAGATCAGAGGAAAAGAGTCATTAGAATGGTTCTCTCTCTCTCTCTCTCTCTCTCTCTCTTCTCTCTCTCTCTCTACCGCACCTGCTCTCTCGACCTCTGAATGCTTGGCTATGAAAAGCAACTGACATTTACTCCTGAGGTGCTGACCTGTTGCACCCTCTATAACCACTGTGATTATTATCATACTCCGCTGATCATCTATGAACGTTTGAACATCTTGAAGAACGATCTGGCCTTAATGGCCATGTACTCTTATAATCTCCACCAGCACAGCCAGAAGAGGACTGGCCACCCCTCAGAGCCTGGTTCCTCTCTAGGTTTCTTCCTAGGTTCCAGCCTTTCTAGGGAGTTTTTCCTAGCCACCGTGCTTCTACATCTGCATTGCTTGCTCTTTGGGGTTTTAGGCTGGGTTTCTGTATAAGCACTTTGTGACATCTGCTGGACTATTGATTGATACACTGAGGGAAGATTTCCCGGGTCTTGATTAAGCCTAGTGCTGGACAAAAAATCATGCTGGAGAATCTCTATTGACAGTGCTTTTTAGTCCAGGATTAGGCTCTGAGTCTGGGTAACTGGCCCTGAAATCTCTATTCTGGAATATTAAACTTCAATAGCAGTGTCTCAGTAGCGATGTCTCAAGTTAGCGTTGTCGGGGGCAATATGGGATGTAACGAGCCTGTGTTTCGACAAATCAATTAACCCAATAGATCCCTGACCATAATCAATCATTCCTTCTCTCTCCCTCTCTCTATCACTCTTCACCCGGCTCCATCTCTCCAAGTTTCTTTTCTCAGTTGACTTTATAGGCCTGCAGTTAATTTTCTCCATCCTATTCGTCAACTTGTTCTGGACTGGTGTACAAATATGGTTGAAACTCCCTCTTGCTAATGCCTTCACTAATCATAAACTTTTAAATTCATCAGGGGGACTGAAAAAGTGCACACTTCAGATAGGAGGGATTTGGAAAAGACCAGCTGAGTCTCTTACCTGTCTCAGGACTGGAACACTTCCTAATGGTGAAGATAGCTGCTAGCCCCTCCCCTTCCTCCAGGCTCCTCCCTCTCACTAACTGCAAGTAGTGAAGCTCCTTCTTCTGATGACCAGGGGAGTGGGTATGTCTCAGTAGGTGGAGTTTAGAGCAGGAGGAGTAGTTACACAGGACACAGTGGAACGACCAGGACCCTCCATCTACTGCACTGTCATACTGCTGTAAGAACTAGAGATAGAGGAAGAGAGGGTGAGAGGTGGGGTTAGACTGTGATAGAGAGAAAGATGCACAAAATAAATCTGGTCCCTGTGCTTTATTTGCTGTCTATATGCCAGATATTTAGAAATAATCTTATAGTCCAAGTACAGCAATGCCACAGGCCTCCAAATCTTGTGTTTGTACTGACCCTGTAGACTCTGAGGCTGTCCTGGTGTTGGGGGTTGATGCTGTGTATTTTCAGTTTCTCCAAGCTGGTGGTCTGGAAGTCACACACGTTACACTTCAGCTGGACTGGGTTGCCTGTAGCAACCAACTTCCCAACTTCCTCCCAGTCCCCGGCCTCCCAATTCTCCCCTATCTCCCAGAGGTGGGAAGCCAGCTGGTACTGGGCCCTGTGGCTGTCTGTCTGGCAGTGCAGGGTGAAGTTAGCCCTGAGGGGGGTACTGTAGCCACACAGCCTGCAGTAGCAGCCTCCAGCCACCAGAGAGTGCCACTCAGACTGAGGCAGGGAGCAGGGGGCACTCAGGTGAGATCCAAGAGACTCCAGACTGTCAGAGGAGAAACTGGAACACACCAGGCACTGGAACACACCACAGGAGAGTGGAGAAGTGGGGGAGAGAGACAGAGGGGGAGAGGGGGATGGAGAAGGGGATGGTGAGGAGGAGGGAGGAGGAGAGGGGGAGGGCGTCAGGGTTGAATCCGGGGCGACTGGCTCCTCTGCTGTTAGCTGATGCATACCCAAAGACTGCTCCCCACCTAGAACACACACACACGGCATAAGCATGGATATAATCAAGTATCAACCTAACTTGATGTGCCAGTGAACAGAGCCCAACAGAACAGTTATTGAGTATGTGTGTCAGTGTGTGACTGGTCTCTCACCTATGCTGTGTAGCAGTGTGAGTTGAGGAGGTAGACTCCTGCAGTGGGACAGGTAGTAGCTTCTCTGCAGCTGCAGTACGTTGTGTGTGTGTTTCAGGCGCAGCACGTTGTGCGTGTGTTTCTCGCTGGTGGTGTGTATGCGCAGATTCCGGGCAATGCTGGTCTCATAATCACACACCTCACACCGCCACCTCTTACCCTGGGAGGGGGGCTGGCTGGGGTAGGGTGGTGTGTGTACAGGGGGCTGTGTGACTGTGGGGTGTGTGTGTCCGTAGCCCTGTTCGCCTGCTGTGTCTCTGACAGCGTAGCCCCCGTTGTGTACAGAGTGTGTGTGTCCCGCTACCTGTACGTTGCTGAGGTGTTTGTCTGACTGCATGTGTATGCTGAGGTTTCCTTTAGAGGACGTGACGTAATCACACACACCACAGCAGTAGGGCTTGTACTCACAGACATAGCTCTCCCTCCGGGACAGACGAGGGTGGGCCTTCCTCGTGCTACAGTACACACACACACCCCTTGACCCTCCACACACACACTTCTCCCCCGAGCCCCCCCACACACACAAGCCCCCAGACTCAGGGTGTTTTTCTCTGAGGTGGGCATGCAGTGTCTGTTGGGACTTGTAGTGCCAGTTACATTTGGGGCATTTGAGCATCTTGCAGGAGTTCCAGGAGTGCATCAAAGCCATGTGACTGTTCAGTGAGCCAGGAGAGGAGGGTGAGGAGGGAGAGGGGTGGAGGTATTTAGAAACGGTCTTTACATTCTCATCTCCCTCTCTTTCTCTCTCGCCATCCCTATCCTTATCTCCCTCTCTTTCTCTCTCGCCATCCCTATCCTTATCTCCCTCTCTTTCTCTCTCGCCATCCCTATCCTTATCTCCCTCTCTTTCTCTCTCGCCATCCCTATCCTTATCTCCCTCTCTTTCTCTCTCGCCATCCCTATCCTTATCTCCCTCTCTTTCTCTCTCGCCATCCCTATCCTTATCTCCCTCTCTTTTTCCATCTCTCTCTTTCGGGTTGTTGTTTGGTTTTGGAACTTTGGCAGTGTCTCCACTGGCAATAAGGGAAGTGTGAGTGGTGTCTGCCCTCCTATCATCCTTAACGGGTGTGCTGGTGGACTCAGGCAGGGCTGACTTCTGGGGTTTAATAAAGCTCAGAGGAAAACTAGGACTACTGCCCTGCACTCCCCCTGTGTCTCTCATCTCTGTCTCGCTCTGGGAGGAAGGAGAGGAGGAAAACAAGGTGGAGAGCTTTGGAGAGGTGGAAGGAGTGGTAGAGTGCTTTGCAGAGGTAGAGCGTTTTGGAGAAGAGGAAGGAGTGATGAGGGTGTTACTGTTCAGTGTGCCACTGGCCATAACAGTGCAGGAAGCAGAGCTGTGCTGGCTCTGTCGAGGTAATAGACTACATTTGGATTTGGTTTGGCTTTGGTTTGAGATGGCCTCTTCCCTCTTCTCCTCTTCCTCTTCCCTCTCTTTCTCTTCCTCTCCTCCTCTGTCTTTGCTGCTGAAGGCTGATGCAAGGTCCTCTCCCCCCACCGTTTCCTCTCTGTCATCCACTAGTAACAATCTTTCTTTCTCCTTCTTCTCCTTTAGCTTCTCTTCCTCTTCCTCCAGTCTGACTCCATGTGAGTGTCCACCCCTCTCCCCTCCTGGGGTCTCCTCTCTGCCTGTGGTCCCCTCTGCACCGCCCTGCTCTGTCTCTGTCTGGGTCAGGGTGGAGGGCTCTTTGGCAGGGGCTGGGGCCGGGGCTGAGGTATGAGAGGACAACCCCTCACAGGGAATCACTTCCAGGGTCAGGAGAGGATGGGATAACAGCTTTGGGCTCTTGTAAGGTTTTCTCTCCTCTCCTCCCTCTCTTCCTCCATCCCTTCCTCTCTCTCCCTCACCGCTGTTCATAATGGCGCCTACAAAAGCCACGCATCGCTACCCCACCTGAGAGAGGGAGGGAGGTTTTTTTATTCACAAAAATACTGTGAAGAAATGCATATACACTACCAAGTGCTTTATTACTGCAACACAATAACAAACAGACTTGTAGGCATTGGCAAGACTCTACTAACTTATAGCTGCTCCCCTGGCCCTAAAGGTTTTCATTTACACACAGATCAATAACCTGGGTTGATCGAAAAGCAACTAAAACGATTTACACAAGGATTACCAACTATCTGTATGGGAAACCATTAGTTAGGTAAAGTGTGTTTGTGCGTATGTGTAGGTGTGTGTGTGAATGAGTAAGTGAGTGTGAGAGAGAGAGAGGGAGAGAGAGAGAGAGAGGGGGGGGGGGGGGGGGGAGGAGAGCATAAACGCGATACAGGTAAACGGAGTTGGTGCGCGAGAGAGATAATTCTATCCTACCCTTATAAAAATAAATACATCTGCTCTGAGCTGAAAATAGGAAACCAAAAGGAAACTTTGATGGATACGTTTGTGCACATTGTCAATTTTTTACAACTAAAAACCGATACAGGTAAACGGAGTTGGTGCGCGAGAGAGATAATTCTATCCTACCCTTATAAAAATAAATACATCTGCTCTGAGCTGAAAATAGGAAACCAAAAGGAAACTTTGATGGATACGTTTGTGCACATTCTCAATTTTTTACAACTAAAAACCGAGGTACTACTGTATCTCTGACAGTAGCCTGCAACTGCTGCTGGTAACCAACATACACCGTCTGACACAGACATACATTATTTAACTGGAATGGTGACTATGGCGATGTTTATATTACTGTAGCCTACTTCTGTCTTTGTTTAGCCTACTGAAGAGAGAACAAGTACAAACAGGACACACCAGTTTACAAAGGCACAACGCTCTTCTTTCCAGTCAACAACCACAGCCAAACAAAGGTGACACTAAAAACCCACACTGACGAAACAAACACATTTGCGTTAAGATAAACAATTCGCTGGTCTATAGAATAATTATGTCTAGGTTAGCCTATAATAAATTCATTCGAATGTCGATATAACAGACACCAGTAGCCTTCAACAACGAACCCCTGCAGCCATCATCACCTGGGTTACACAGGATGTCAGTGATTTCGCCGACAGTTAGAAAAAAACGCTGTATCTGTAGTAATCCAGTCACATAGCGGATCTACTGAACATCCACGTATTCCCTTTGGACCAGAGAGATTGCAGGAGAGGACAGCCGCAGAGAGCAGCATAACAGTCCTCTCTATGTTCCTAAAATCTTCTTCTTAAAGCTATATCTACAGTAAACATTGGGACGGAGGGGGAGAGGTAGAGTGAGGTCTGATCATATAGGAGAGAAAAACACTTCACTATTTATTCCTGCAAATTGGTTTCCTGCAGATGGCTAAAACCACCCCACTGCGCATGTGCGTAATTTCGCAGGCAGCATCAACGCATCAATGGGATGCCGCGGTGGAGTGGGATGGAAAGAGTGGGAGTAGTAGACTATGGAGGAGAGGATGAAGGATAGATAGAGGAAAAAAGTGAAGTAATGGAATTAACATTGTAAGCCTGATATTGGATGTTATAGAAAATAAGAACGTGATTGAATAATTGTTCAATTCTGACACAAAAGGCTCAAGTGAAATGTAGATTTATAGGACAAATATCAAATCAAATAATTTGCCACATGCGCCGAATACAACAGGTGTAGACCTTACAGTGAAATGCTTACTTCCAAGCCCTTGACCAACAATGCAGTTAAGAAAAATAAGTGTTAAATTAAAAATAATTAAAGAGCAGCAGTAAAATAAAATAACAGTAGGTAGGCTTAATGGAATTAACATCATGTTAATCAGGACGAGGTGAGTAGTCATGCTGTACTTCGCTCCGCAGGTAATATGACACATTACATTACAATGGAACGATTTGATTAGTGTAATGTTGGCTAGCTACATAGTTGTATTTGTATCAAAGATAAAGGTGTAGTATAGAGTAACTATCGAGGTTAGCTAGCCAACTACATTCGTTCGCAGCGACGCCGTTTTTCAAACAAAGTCAACACCGCAGCCATTGCTAGCTAGCCAACACTACCAGCTAACAGCTAGCAGTACTGTAGCAACTAAATACAATATCCTTTTAGCCAGCTACATTCATTTGCAGCGACGCCGTTTTTCAAACGAAGTCATCACCGCAGCCATTGCTAGCTAGCCAACGCTACCAGCTAGCAGTACTATAGCAACTAAATACAATATAATTTTAGCCAGCTACATTCGTTCGCAGCGACGCCGTTTTTCAAACAAAGTCAACACAGCAGCCATTGCTAGCCAACACTACCAGCTAGCAGTACTGTAGCAGCTAAATACAATATCTTTGTGCTAGCTAGCCAACGTTTAATTATTGCTGCGTTATGAAAGGAACTAGACACGGACACGAATTATCTGTTTAGTGTGTTAACACACTATTGGTCGTTTGTTGTAACCAAGTATTGGTGCTAAACCGTGTGTTATTGGATGCTAGCATGCTAGTTAGCTATGGCGTCATAGTTAGCTAGCTGAATAAAGTAAGTTGAGTCTATTCCTTGAAACATTGAACCGCTGTAGTTTACAACAATTCTAATTTCTAAAGTGGAAGTTGGGAGAGTTTTATTCGGGTGTTTCAGTGAAACAATTATAGTTTCTGAGGTGGAAGTTGGGAGAGTAATATTTGGGAGTTGTGGTGAGGGAGGCCCCGCTCTCTCCTTTCCCAGATGTTTAGTTCATTTCATTCCGATCTCCTCTGCATTATTGTAGCCATTTGCTGCAGCCTGTCAACTATGCCTCTGCCTATCCCTGTTCTCTCCTCTCCGCACAGGCTACACAAGCGCCTCACACCGCGTGGCTGCTGCCTCTCTAACCTGGTGGTCCCTGCACGCACCACTCACCTGGAGTTCCAGGTCTCAGGCAGCCTCTGGAACTGCCGTTCTGCTGCCAACAAGGCAGACTTCATCCCAGCCTATGCAACCCTCCAATCCCTCGACTTCTTGGCGCTGACGGAAACATGGATTACCACTGAAAACACTGCTACTCCTACTGCTCTCGCCTCGTCTGACCATGTGTTCTCGCATACCCCGAGAGCATCTGGTCAGCGGGGTGGTGGCACAGGAATCCTCATATCTCCCAAGTGGACATTTTCAATTTTTCCCCTAACCCATCTGTCTATCTCCTCATTTGAATTCCATGCTGTCACAGTCACTAGCCCATTTAAGCTTAATATCCTTGTCATCTATCGCCCTCCAGGTTCCCTTGGAGAGTTCATCAATGAGCTTGACGCCTTGATAACCTCCTTTCCTGAGGATGGCTCACCCCTCACAGTTTTGGGGGATTTCAACCTCCCTACATCTACATTTGACTCATTTCTCTCTGCCTCCTTCTTTCCACTCCTCTCCTCTTTTGACCTCACCCTCTCACCGTCCCCCCCTACTCACAAGGCAGGCAATACGCTTGACCTCATCTTTACTAGATGCTGCTCTTCTACTAATCTCACTGCAACTCCCCTCCATGTCTCCGACCACTACTTTGTATCCTTTTCTCTCTCGCTCTCCTCCAACACTATTCACTCTGCCCCTACACAGATGGTAATGCGCCGCCGCAACCTTCGCTCTCTCTCTCCCACTACTCTCTCCTCTTCCATCCTATCATATCTTCCCTCTGCTCAATCCTTCTCCCTCCAATCTCCTGATTCTGCCTCCTCAACCCTCCTCTCCTCCCTTTCTGCATCCTTTGACTCTCTGTGTCCCCTATCCTCCCGGCCGGCTCGGTCCTCCCCTCCAGCTCCGTGGCTTGATGACTCATTGCGAGCTCACAGAACAGAGCTCCGGGCAGCGGAGCGGAAATGGAAGAAAACTAAACTCCCTGCCGACCTGGCATCTTTTCACTCCCTCCTCTCTACATTTTCTTCATCTGTTTCTGCTGCTAAGGCCACTTTCTACCACTCTAAATTCCAAGCATCTGCCTCTAACCCTAGGAAGCTCTTTGCCACATTCTCCTCCCTGCTGAATCCTCCTCCCTCCCCCCCCCCTCCTCCCTCTCTGTGGATGACTTCGTCAACCACTTTGAAAAGAAGGTTGACGACATCCGATCCTCGTTTGTTAAGTCTAATGACACTGCTGGTCCTGCTCACACTGCCCTACCCTATGCTTTGACTTCTTTCTCCCCTCTCTCTCCAGATAAAATCTTGCGACTTGTGACTGCAGGCCGCCCAACAACCTGCCCGCTTGACCCCATCCCCTCCTCTCTTCTCCAGACCATCTCCGGTGACCTTCTCCCCTACCTCACCTCGCTGATCAACTCATCCTTGACCGCTGGCCATGTCCCTTCCGTCTTCAAGAGAGCGAGAGTTGCACCCCTTCTCAAAAAACCAACACTCGATCCCACTGATGTCAACAACTACAGACCAGTATCCCTTCTTTCTTTTCTTTCCAAAACTATTGAGCGTGCCGTCTTTAGCCAACTCTCTTGCTATCTCTCTCAGAATGACCTTCTTGATCCAAACCAGTCAGGTTTCAGGACTGGTCATTCAACTGAGACTGCTCTTCTCTGTGTCACGGAGGCTCTCCGCACTGCTAAAGCTAACTCTCTCTCCTCTGCTCTTGTCCTTCTAGACCTGTCTGCTGCCTTTGATACTGTGAACCATCAGATCCTCCTCTCCACCCTCTCCGAGCTGGGCATCTCCGGCGCGGCTCACTCCTGGATTGCGTCCTACCTGACCGGTCGCTCCTACCAAGTGGCGTGGTGAGAAGCTGTCTCCGCACCACGTGCTCTCACCACTGGTGTCCCCCAGGGCTCAGTTCTAGGCCCTCTCCTATTCTCCCTATACACCAAGTCACTTGGCTCTGTCATATCCTCACATGGCCTCTCCTATCATTGCTACGCTGACGATACACAACTAATCTTCTCCTTTCCCCCTTCTGATAACCAGGTGGCGAATCGCATCTCTGCA